GGTCAAATCCAGGCCGCATGCGCCTGCTTCTGTCCCTCGTAACGTGTCACCTTGCCTTCCTCCCCTGTCCACGCCTGCCTCCCAGCCCGTGAGCCCCGTGCCTTGTTGGCTACAGGAACTCGTGAGTCATTGACTTAGAGATGCTCGGGAAGCAGGGCTGTCGGAGGTGAGGACGAATGGGTGCATGGGGGCACAGACACAGGCGTGGGGTGAAGTGGCATCTCGGGTGCATGGGGGTGGCCGGGGCGTGGCGAGGGGCTTGTGAACGGCCAGGGTCACAGTGAAACCTGAGAGAGAAAAGGGAGGACACCGGCTGTGTGCCAAGCACTAGGCTTGCTCGCTATGAAATTTTATTTAATCCTCATAATGATCCTATGAGATGGGCATCACTGTCCCCATTTTCAGAAGAGGAAACTGAGGCTCAGAGAAGTAACTTACACAAGCTGACAACAATTAAGAGGCACCAGACTTAGAACCCACACCTGACTCCAAAGCCCACACCCTTCTCCATACCTGCTGCCTCTCTGTGCCCATCGGTGGGGCGTGCAGGGAGAAAAGGAGGGGGCTCTGGTGTCGGAGGGGAGAAATGCCCACTGAGGGTTGGAGCCAGACGCGGGGAGGGGGTGGCGGCGGGACGGGGAGACCAGAGTCGTGCAGCGCACACAGCCGCACGGAGCAGAGGGCAGGACAAGCTCCGTGTGGACAGGACAAGTGGCCGACGAGGATGCTGACAGCAGGTAAGGGGACCGGGAAGTTGTTCTGGCCTGGCGGTGACAGTTTGTCCTGGCACCTGTTACCGGCTGCACAACGGGGTTCTCTCTGGCTTGTGATGTCATTTTATGCAAAGCAGATCTTCATAAGTAAGGTTCTCTGTGGCCTACAGATGCATGTGGCCAACCAGTACCTTTTAGAATTCTTGAGACTCTGAAGGCCGTGAGATCGTACACGCTCTGAGCAGCTGCACATAAATCGCTCCTCCTTACTTCCTTATAGCTGCCTCACCCCTCACTGCACTGGAGTTTGGAACCCTGTCAATTTGCAGAGGTGGGAATTCGGGTCCAGAGGAAAGAGACCTGTCCCAGGTCTCATCATGGGACCCCAGGCCTCCTGCCAGCCAAGCGCCACGGCACCCATGGGTGAACAGCCACACTCAGAGCTATTTGTCCAGGAAGATGGAAAAGGCGAGAGGAAGTGAGATCGGAGAGGCAAGTGAGCAAAACCCAGGAAGCTGTTTTAAGATCACGGGTACAGCTAAACACTTTTGCAACCAATAGGGATTCAGGGCCGTAGAATGAGCCATATGTCTGCCTTCGAGCCGTTAAGAGCCAGCTTTGTTTTGGGCGCCGTCAGAGTCTCTCCACGTAAAATGCTCTGCCCGTCAGATTCAGTTCCTGCTGGTACTGCTGATGCTCCTGTTCAAGCAGCTGGTGCAGGGCCGCTCGACGGGCCTGGCAGGGGTGTGGGGGGTGGTGGGGGGGGCAGAACAGAGTGTGACGTCAGGCTGGCCCCTTTCCTCGTTCTCCCGCGATGGCAGTCCAGCGTGCGTCCTCCTGGCTTTGGACTTAGCTGTGCCACAAAGCTAGGCGGTAGCATCGAGGCTGCGCACTGCAGGAGAGGCCTACGCAAGTCTTTCTCCGTGGATGAGACCCCACGTTCAGCAATTACTTGCTGAGAACACCATGAACCGTGACCTCCGCCAGGCCCCGGGACACACAGATGGCGACCTGCTGGCGACCGGGTTCTCCCGGGAGAGAGGGGCTCTGAGAGGCAGGTGCCAGGCACGGACACGAGGGGAGCGAGGACTAGTCCGCGCCCCGGGACTGGAGGCCGGGTCACCTGCAGCCGGACGCGAAGAGCCACTTGACGAGACCCGGTACTGCTCCAGTGTAATGCTGAAAACCTCAGAGGCAGACACACTGGGCAAGTACTGGCAGCAGTGAAGAGCTTGGGACCCCAGCGGACTCTGCAGGGCAGTGAGGGTGAGGCTTCAGGTCACCCTTGCGAGAACTCACCGTCAGCAGCTGCTTGTTGGCCAGTGCCAACTCCTGTCCCCTGGTGTCCTGCATCCTTAGGGCAGCATACAGGTTTCTCCTCTGGCCCAGCGGCGTCTGCCACATACAGTGGGTGTGTGAATTCTGCCACCTGCCCCAGGCACAGAGGAAGGAGCTGACTGGATCAGTTTGGAGTGGTGACACAAACCCCATCACCGGAACCTCTGCGCCCATGTCAGAACACGGCCAGCTCCTTGAAGGGTAACTAGAACTAAGAACCTAGTATGCGTTGAATACACAGGCCGCTGAATCATCATAACCGTGTGTCAGAGATACTAATTTTGCACGGCACACACGGAAACAAAGTTCAGGTGAGTCGCCTAAGGTCACTTAATGGCAGACCTGGGTATCAAAATCCAGTCTAAAAATTAATACCTTCCGTTACACCATGGTTCTCATCCTTAGCTAGACAACATTCTGCAATCATTTAAGGTTTTTTAATTCATGAGAGAAATATGCATTTCTCTCCCCCCACCTCTCTCACACGTGTCCTCTGCTCAGGTAACCCTTGAGTTTTATTTATTTTTTTTAAGATTTTTAAGTAATCTCTACACACAACGTGGGGTCAAACTCACAACCCCAAGATCAAGAGTCACACGCTTCGGGGCGCCTGGGTGGCTCAGTCGGTTAAGCGTCCAACTCTTGGTTTCGGCTCAGGTCACGATCTCACGGTTTGTGGGATTTTCTCTCTCCTTCTCTGTCCTTCCCCGGCTCGTGTGCACGCAGTCTC